TTTTTTTTTTTTTTTTTTTTTTTTTTTTTTTTTTTTTTTTTTTTTTTTTTTTTTAGTTTTTTTACTCGGGAGTCTTGCACATTCTCTGATGATAGGGTACCAATGTAATTATTTTTTTTCATTTTCGTCAGAACAGTTGATGCCGGTTTATTGCTGTACTTCAAAATAATTAATGTATTTATACCATTTATTTTAATAGTATGGATATGTACCCGAAAAAATGTATTATTGATACGATATAAATTCATATTTTTCAAAGTAAAGAAGTAAAATTTAGTTTTATTAACAATTTTTTAATCACAGGGTCCAATAATAATAGTGTGAACATAGCACTACCACTTTCTCTTTGATGTTTCTGACTTCAGTTTTACTTTTGGTGGCGATGAATCTTCAAGTTTTTGTACAACTAAGACTGTAGCATCTACGTGAATATTTTCTGTAACATCGATCTCAGATTTTATAGCTTTGGTGTACCTTTATTAGTGGCTTCAGAGCTTTAACAAAGAAAACGATACTCTTCTCGTCACTAATTACTACTGCTACTTAAATTTTGTGTGCACGCTGCGCAACATTTTATTTCCAGACTTTTTACACATAAGTCATTCTCTTTAAATATGTTAATCTTTATTATTTCAATACGGATTTGTAACACTCATCTCATTCAAAATCAGAGAGTCAGATAGTAAAAATATGACAAACTAGAAAAGCGTATTTTGTTAATAACAAATGTGGAATAAGCCGTTCAAAAATGTGGTTAGAGCTGTCTAATAAATCGAACTCCCACGTTGTCTTAAAGATAAAGCAATCTGACTTTTGCAACATGACTTTCTGACTCTTAAAACTAATGAATCGGTATATCCTCACATGGGTTTAAAAAGGTGTAGTATTCCATTTTTTGTGGACATTTGCTTTCTGTTGGGCGGATAAATCAACTTCACTCGGCCTTGGGTCTTCTCTTGTCTAAAGTCAGTTTATTCGATTCGGTACAAGTATAATATCAAGTGAAAGAACACTATGTAGACGAGACAAGACGTAGGAGAGGAAAAAACGATGATGCCGAGTGGACTCTTCAAAGACGACAGACTCCAGACGCGCCTACCACTCGGAGGGCGCCACACACCCTGCTCCGGCTAGAGACCTCTCCAAATGCAGGACGGGCGATTGGTTGGTGAGACCGGGCAATTCAAATACCGGCCAAGACAGTGGTCCGGATGGGGGTCAAACATCCCGCCCGCCTTGTTCCTGGAACAAAACAGTAGTCCCGCCTGCCGTACGCGCGTCATCTGGAGCACTGAGGACGGGTGATAAAGGACGCCCACTCGTGGTCTCGACCGGCAGGAGTGCGAGCTTGTTGACTGGCCGGAGGTACTCGCCAGTGGAGGCTCTGATGATGGCTGCTCGAACTAGCCCGTCGTGGCCCAGGTGCACACGTAGGATCCGTCCAAGAGGCCAGCGGCCGACCATGAAAAGGAGGGTAGGATCGAGGACAGCTACGACGTCTCCAACGGCGAAATTTCGGCGTGGCGTGGCCCACTTAGGACGCTGCTGGAGGGTGTAAAGGTATTCCCGGCTCCAGCGCGTCCAAAACTGAGCTGGAAGGCTGTGCACAAGCTCCCAATGGGCAAGCCTGTCGGGGCACCGCTCTGCAGGAAGGGCCTCGATGATAGAGTTTAGAGGGGCTCCGGTAATTAAATGGCCAGGCGTAAGCACTTCGAGGTCATCGGCTTCTCCAGAGAGTGGGACCAAGGGTCGACTATTGAGCACCATTTCGATGCTAACTAACACTGTTGAGAGCTCCTCGTAAGTGAGGTGTCGGCTGCCAATGACACGTCGGAGGTGTCCCTTGACGGACTTAACGCCGGCCTCCCAGAGACCGCCAAAGTGAGGAGCTCCAGGCGGAATGAAGCGCCAATCGATACCTTGGTTAACTAGGGTCCCAGCGATGAGCTCGCCCTCCAGCTCGACCTGCTGCAGTGCTTTCCGGAGTTCGTGGTCAGCTCGACGAAAACAGGTAGCGTTGTCGCTCCATAGCTCGGACGGACGGCCTCGGCGGCCAGAGAAGCGCGTGAGAGCAGCCAAGAACGGGCAGCAGAGAGATCTCCAACCAGCTTGAGGTGCACGGCCTTCGTGGTCAAGCACACAAAGAGGGCGATGTACCCCTTTGAAGTGCGGGTCCCTCGTCCTCTGGTGGCGAGTACGTCAAAGGGGCCTGCATAGTCAACACCAGTACGACCGAAGGCGCGAAAGGGTGTGACCCTGGGCCGAGGAAGGGGGGCCATCTGTTGAGACGCAGGCCGTGCTCGCAAGCGAGTGCAAAGGAGACAATGCCGCAAAAAAGTCTTGATTCGTCGGGTACCGCCAATGATCCAGGCGCGTCTTGCAACGTAAGCGCTGGTGACCCTGAAACCTCCATGCAACGCGCGAGAATGCGCCCAGGACAAGACGAGGCGAGATAGGTTGCAGGAGCCGTGGATGATCGGAGGATGCTGCTCATCGTAGGTCAGCGCAGAGTGCTGAATCCGCCCGCCAACCCGGAGGACTCCATCAGTGTGGATAAACGCAGCAACGGAAGCTAGTGGATGATTCTTCGGTAGGGGACGCCTGAGTCGAAGGAGCGAAAGCTTCCTCGCGAAGGCGCGCTCTTGACTTAGACGAACACAGGCCAGGGACGCATCTCTCAGCTCTATCGCGGTCAAGAAGGGCGTCACTGGCCGGTCACGTGTCCAACCGAGGTGAGCACGAACCCATCGGTGCAAACGGGCAAGAACCCGGAGCAAGGTGCTAAGGTCAGAGAATCGATCGAGCAGATGGGCTTCGGGCCGCTGGACGACGCAGCAGGTTACAGGCATCGATGGCTGTGTAACCAAATCCTCGTGCGGCCAACACTCCGGGCCATTCGACAGCCAGGCTGGACCATGCCACCACGAGCTCTGTAGATGAAGTTGGCCAGCATCAGCGCCGCGGGACGCGACATCAGCTGGATTTGATGAGGTTGGCACGTAGCGCCAGATGTTAGACGGTAGTAGCTCCTGGATGTGGGCAACATAGTTGTCGACCAAGGCATTCCCTGTGGGCTCCACGGAACGAAGCCAGCGCAGGACAATTTGGGAGTCAGTCCACGCACGGCAGTTTTCGATAGGGGCATCGAGTTCCGTTGATGTCAATTGAAGCAGCTTGGCTGCGAGTAGTGCGGCTCGGAGCTCAAGACGAGGTATCGTCATCCGAGGCTGGGGCGAAGAAGCTGGCTTTAGAGTTCGGATTGGAGCTTGGTTTTAGCCAAAAGAATGTAGCAGTGCACTAAACCTGTAGAGTCGGTAAGTTGAGAAAAAGTTACAGCTGCCATGGCGCGGCGGCTTGCATCGGAGAAGGCGTGGAGCTGCAGATCCAAATCGGGCGACCATCCAATCCAGCGTGGGATAGCAAACCCATGGATCGCCTGAAGCTCGGAGGCGAAAGCTGACCACTGGCGGGCCATTGACGGTGGCACGACCTCATCCCAGTCGAGTCCAGCGCGCCATAAATCCTGGAGCAGAAACTTGGCGTTCAGGATGGTAGGGGCCAGCCAGCCACACGGATCAAAAAGCCGTGCCAGAGCGGCGAGAATTGTCCGCTTCGTGTCTTGAGCCTGAACTCGGGGAGGAGTAAGACGGAAATGGTCTGAGGCTGGATCCCAGCAAACACCGAGTTCACTCACAAAACCATCAGTGGCTAGCTCTTGCCAAGTGGAGCGAAGGCGCTCTTCTTCTGGGAGGTCGTCTAAGAGCTCAGGCACGTTCGCTACCCATTTCCTCAACGGAAACCCTCCAGCTTGCTACGGGCAGATAAGCTGGTTTCGGAGTTCACGTGCGGCATCGAGGTTGTCAGCGCCGGATAGGATGTCATCTGCATAGCGATCACGCATGGCAGCAGTTGCAGCTCCAGGCCACCTGTGGCCTTCATCCTCGCACAATTGCTGGATGACGCGCAGTGACAAGTAAGGCGAACAAGAAACGCCGTAAGTGACTGTGAGCAGCTGATAGTGTGTAGGCGGAATGCTTGGGTCTGGGCTCCACACAATGAGTTGCAGGTCAACGTCCTGAGGGTTAACTTGAATTTGGCGAAACATCATCCGGGCGTCGGTGCAGAACGCGAAGCGATGTCGACGCCAGCGTAGCAGGACCGTTGGCAAGGCTGCCTGGAGCCTCGGCCTGGTGTGCAGGACATCGTTGAGACTGTAGCCACTCGAGGTCGCGTGCGAGGCATTAAAGACGACGCGCAGCCTTGATCCTCGATCCCCGCGCTGCCAGATGCCATGGTGCGGGATGTAGTACACGGGACGAGTCGGCGCGGAGACCAGAGCATCGGACAATGGCCTCATATGGCCCAGCGCGACGTACTCGTCCATGAATCGAGAGTACTCGATGGCCATATCTGGGTTCCGATGACGGCGAGCTTGCAGGGACCTCAAGGATGCTCGGGCACTCTGTAGACTGTCGCCGAGGAGATGGAGGGCGTCCTGCTTCGAGGGAAGCCTCACTATGTAGCGATCATCCTCGTCACGCCGATGGTCGGAGAAAGTCCGCTCGCATTCAATGTCAGCGGACGCCTGACGGCGTGCCTATGGGAGGTCCTCGAGCTCCCAAAAGCGTCGCAGTAGGGAGACAAGTTCCTTATGCCAGTCTGGGGCAGCTTCGTCTCTTAGGGTTGAGCAGGAGAGGATGGAGCTTGATGAGCGTCCGGGCGCCCGGCCCGTGAGAACCCAGCCCACGACTGTGCGCTGACCAAAGATCTCACCATGCTGCATGGACTCGGGTTTGAGCAGATGATGATAGACGTCAGCGCCGAGGAGAAGTTCAACCTCGCTCGGCTGATCGAAGGTGGGATCTGCGAGGTCAATGGATTCCCAATGCTGCCGGACTGATGGATCCAAAGACATTGCAGGGGTGTAGAGCCCCAGGCGTTTCAGACACAGGGCTGACAGCGTGATCAAAGTAGTGTTGTCTCCTGGCACGAGGTTGAGCTGCACTCTCGCCGTTGACTGAACAATAGGATGGCCCCCGAGTCCGGAGAGGCTGATGGTAGACGCCTCCATTGGCGCCTTAAGTCGGTGGGACACTCGCGCTGACACTACGGTGACCTCAGAACACGGATTAAGGAACGCTCTGACAATTACTGTGCACCCGGTGTGGCCACTGAGCTTAACAAGGGTGGTTGGGAGCACCGCTAGTCATTGTTGGGGCTTCAGGTTGCCATCGCCGGCTTCAGAGCGAGCCTTGCCCTCGCGTTTGGCGTGCTTCGCTAGGGTAGTATCGTTATGGCGCTCCGCTTGACGCTTCTGCCCGTCATGCAGAAGGCTGTGGTGGGTGGCGCGGCAGTGTTGGCAGACGGACTTGGACGGACAATCTTTGACGAAATGCCCTTGCTTCAAGCAATTGAAACAGAGCCTTTCGCGGAACACAACGTTCTTCTTGGCCGTCGTGTTTAAGCCCTGGAACTCGCTGCAGTGGCCTAGATAGTGAGCACCATGACAGGTAGGGCAGGTAAGCGAGCTTTCTTGAGTTGCAAGGGTGCGGAAGCTCCGGGTGGCTGAAGAGGGTATCGTAGTACGTGAGCTGGAGGGCACAGGAGCGCGTGTTACGCGAGAAGCTTCAACAGAGCGGAGAGCGCGACACTCGCGACGAAAGAAAGACGCCAAGACAGAAAACGTGGCTATGTTAACTTCTAGCTCCGGGCTGGATGCCTCAAGCTTCTCCAACCCATCCTCCCAGGCCCGTCTAGTCGATGGATCCAAGCTCGTGGCAGCGAGTGAGACGAACCAATCGTCCCAGTGGTCCACAGGGCGATCTAGAGCACGGAGTTGGTCTCGATGGTGCTCGAGGTAACCAGCAGTGTCTGTAGACCTTCAACGGACTCTTCTCGCATGGGTTTGATGCTGAGCAACGCCGAGAGATGATCGTGCACAAGCAACCGGCGGTGCTCATACCGCGTCTTGAGGAGGCTCCATGCAATGTTGTAGTTAGTGCCAACAGTCTGAACGGTGTCGAGAGCAGCCTTGGCGTCCCCTTGCACGAGCGACTTTAAATAGTAGAGGCGCTCGACGTCGGTCAGTTGAGGCTCGTTGTGGACCAGGGCTTTGAACAGGTCGCGGAAGGACTCCCAGTCCTCCCGCCGACCAGAAAACTGAGGGATGCTGATGGACGGCAGTCTTGGCCCACGACGCTGATTGAGATCGGTTGAAAGAGCCGGGAAATTAGGCGGCTTCGGCTGTAGACGGCTGCGGTGGTCGTAGATGCAGGACCGTGCAGCAATATAGTCGGTCTCAGCAGAGGCGTACACGTTACCCGCAGCATCGGCCGTGGCGGTTGTGGCCGCTTCCAGCAGGGCTACATGGTTAGCCTGGAAGTCACGCCAATACTCGTCAAGAAGCTCGAGCCGAGCTTCGATAAGACTTAGGGTCCACTGATTATCCTAGGTGTCGATGGCGGTCTGAGAGAATCGGGCGATGACGTTCCCGAGTGATCGCTGCGTTGCGAGCAAAGACGTAGTGCGGTCGTCCCTGTAAACGACAGAGAGTTCGATATATACTCCGTTTAACGTATGTGGCGCGTACCAATACAGAGTGGCATGCAGCGCGGGCACGTGGCGGCCGCGGCAGTTCATAACCTACACAGCGTGCCTTGACGCGAGCCTGGTATGCGACGCGGGCTCATGGCGGCCGCGGCATTCCCTAACCAACATACACGGTTCTCTGCATGAGGCGTGGGCACACGGCGACCACGGCCACTACATGGAGAGGACTCTCGAGAACTCTCTCGAGTTGATGGGTGATAAGACCTCGACGAGATCATAACCCAGCAGCACCTGGTACACGTCGCTTCCCGAGCAATCATCAACCTCGTGGCATCACTTGCTGCCAAGAGCTTCTTGCTCCCGAGGAAATGGTGGAGAGATGTGCCCTAATGCTAATGCATATATGTACTCACATGATAACGATCAGCGTTGCACCCAGACGATCCTCACACTGCTGTGACGCGCGATTCGGCTCGAAGGACCAAATGTTGGGCGGATAAATCAACTTCACTCGCCCTTGGGTCTTCTCTTGTCTAAAGTCAGTTTATTTGATTTGGTACAAGTATAATATCAAGTGAAAGAACACTATGTAGACGAGACAAGACGTAGGAGAGGAAAAAACGATGATGCCGAGTGGACTCTTCAAAGACGACAGACTCCAGACGCGCCTACCACTCGGAGGGCGCCACACACCCTGCTCCGGCTAGAGACCTCTCCAAATGCAGGACAGGCGATTGGTTGGTGAGACCGGGCAATTCAAATACCGGCCAAGACAGTGGTCCGGATGGGGGTCAAACACTTTCAAAATAAAATATCCAAGATCCAACACAATTTGAAAATCGAACAAAATCATATTCATGTTAATTCTAACTTATAGTATTGGAATCTATATTAAATAGAATGAGGCAAAACTGTTTTTTTCTATACATCCGGAAACATAATGTCGTTTTTTTGGCCTTAAGTTTTCGAACCAATCTATTGAGATACCTGTAGATACCTTATCGTACTTTTTTTAGGATTGCCGAAGCATTTTACTTTTCTTTTTGATTAAAAAACTTACACTTGCTGTATTTACCGTATTTTTTCCAACTTTTTTAAACATACCTTTGTTTAATAAAGTGATCTTTTTAAATCTGCCTGCTAAAAGAAACCCTCAAATAAAACAAAAATAAAATTTTGTATTACAATCGACTACGAAGAACCCAGTATCTAGAAGTTTTTCTCGTTTTATACGTCAATAGATGTTACTTTAGTAGAATATTACCTTTTGCCTCCTATCAAGTGACGATAAAATGCTTCTTAGAACAATGAAAACGATATAGACAAGAGCAAAAAAAAGTAGGACGATTGAAATACCGCCTCGAGACAGTAGTGTGTGATTAGATCACCTTATATATATTACTCAAAGATATGTTTCCCCAGCTAAGGTAGTTCTCTATATTCATTGGTAGACTTCTACCAACGATTGAAGTTAATATGTCCAATAGTCATTAAATTTTGATTGTTAGCCAACTTCTAGCGTAAATTTTTCTTGTTAAAATTGGATATATAGGATCAGCGAGGCTTGAGTCTTCAATATAAAACTATGTGAAAACTATGCATATGATTTACCTTACGCTGTATTTTTCAAGTACCAATAGACATTCTGTTAAAAAATAAAAGGACCCCGCACCAACGCAATGGGATTTGGGGTCCCAATGAAACTTGATGAAATTTTGATATGTTGTAGCTTATGATTTTCTGAATCAAAGTTTCCACAGGCGCAAGTCCTTTTAATGGACAGATTTTGAGTAAATAATGATTTAAGTCGTCTATTTCGGTAAGGGTTAGTTTGACATGCGACGCTGTTCAGTCAACACACGCGCCGCATTCGATATACAGTCAGATGAGAAGTAAGGGTTAAGTCGCACACGTGCACTGCACATGGTGCGATGTAGATTACAATAAGAAGGCATTAATAATTTCAGTAATAATTCAGTATATAAGTATAATATATACGTCGTTAGATATATCCGTAGCAATAGGTAACTTCGTTTTGTTCACATATTGTATTTTCAGATTGTTTAGAATCTGTAAAGAGTTATTCTGTTGCAAAA